TCTAATATTTATGGAAGAATGCCATATAATACTTGCTACATTTGGCACAGTGAATTTTTAAAATTTCAGTATCTACTCCCTTCAAGTGAAATTAGCAAATTCTATGTTACCTTAGGAACAGCTTGATTTTTATGGTGGTGTAGCAAATAAAAATGTGCTAAGTGAACAAAGGTGGCTGGGTATTTCTTACTGGGTGAATTTAGAAGGGTCTATGAAATACACTTCTGTGTATTTCACAGTGTCTTTCAGAGCTTAATGTTAGGGTTCTTTTTTTGTTTTTTTAATCTCCAAGTATTTTTTTCCTCCTTCTGTGAGTTATGAAAACTATATAGGGTTTATGCCACCTTTGTTTATCTAGAAACTTGGACAGGACAATAATAAAGAAGAAGCCCCATAAGAAACAACTATGTAACTTTTAATGCTAATGAGACGTTTTTTTGCCAGAGCCCATCCCAACATATTTTTATGTAAAAATGAGAAACGAGCATTAAGATGCTTTATTGCAGGAAGGGTTTTCATAGGGCTTGGGTTTCAGTGAGCTCGGCTGTGACAAAGCAAACTGATGGCAGTGATAGGCTAGTGATGTCATTGTGATGTCAATACTCCTACGTACCCTGCCCATGCTTGTTAGTTCGGAACACTTTCTGTTGCCCTGTGAGAGGGGAAACAAGGCAGTTTGTATGCAGAAGCCCATCATGGCTGTAACTGGAGATGAAACAGGTAAGAATTTTAAAGTGGGATTTAAATTACTTCTGCAAAAAATTTTTTGAACTTTAAAAAAATTATTTCGGGACACCTGAGTGTTTCAGAAAGTATGACTTTTCCGGTAGCTGAGGAGTAAGACGTTCCTTTCTTTCTCTCTCTGTAAATTCCGCACTCTGTTGAGGCATCTCAGTGTGCTTGCCTCTTCGCTCACTTGACCACGGCAGTGGTCCTCGCTCGCTCGCTCTCCGTTCCGCTCTACCAAAATAAGCTGTTACTTCATCTGCAACCTGTTGCAGGTCCGATGCCGCTACAGATTAAACTTACACAGTTTGCAAGTTGTCAAAAACCGAGCTGCCGATTTCCTCGCCGCGTACGCACGTAGCCCAGAGCCGAGGAGCCGCGCGGAGGGCCGCTGCCGCTGACCCCCGGCTCTCGGGCCCCGGGCCCCTGCCCCCGGCTCGGCTTGCGGCGGCGCGCGCTGACGTCACCGCGCCTCCCGGAACCGCTCGGGGGCGCCGGGGGCCTGTGGCGGGCGGCGCGCCGACGTCAGCCAGCAGCCGGGCTGGCCGCGGGCCCTGGCGCGTGCGCCCGCTGACGTGAGCGCGGGCGGCCCCGCCGCTCCTCCGGGGCGCCCTCCCGCCGCTCAGCTTCGCTCGCGAGCCGTGCTTTGCCGCCCCCCTCGAGGTGAGTGTCTGCCGGCCGAGGGCACGCTCGGGGGCCGGCGTCCCCAGGAGTTCCGCGCGTGCGTCGGTGCCCGTGCGGGTCGCGGCTGTGGCCGGGTGGCCGCTGTCCTTCGTGCGGCGGCGGCGGCGGCGTCGACTGAGGTAGCGTGTGCCCGCCGCCCCGGCGCCGAGCGCGCAGGTGGGCGCGGAGAGGGGGCTGGCGGACGCCCGCCGCGGCCTCGCCACCAGGGCGACAGGCCCGTGTTGGGAGCGTGCAAAAGCCGTGGTCGCTTGTTTGTAGGATTATCTTGAGGACCCATTGTTTCTCTCGAGCTTTTGTGAAGTTTTAGAGATGCTACAGATTGCAGAACCTCTCCAATACAAATTTATTGTAAGATATAGATGGACTTAACCTCAGATATTGCGTGTTATATGACTCAGAACCAAAAGGCAGTTTTCTGCACATATATCAAAAAATTAGTAATTGGTTTATATGTTTCTTTACTAAGCTTTTAATTCCAATTCAGCATTTGACTTGTCTGAGCATGAGAATCATAACAAAAAATAAAATGATTTGAAAATACTCAGAATATATTTAAAGATGAAAGTTTAAGGTAAAAATTTGCATAAAACTTTAACCATTGCTTCTATATAAGTGAACATTTTTATACATTTATGTTTACAGAATGAACATACCATCCTTAAAGAGATTTTTTTTCACAGTGTTACCCTTTCCAATTTAAAATTTTCAAAATGCTGAAACTAGAAGATGTCAGCCTTTTTTCACAAGATATCGTTGTGCCTTTGGAAATCATCATTTTTGGAAATCTGGTCAGTTGTCACAGAATCAATTCTGTTTGGAATACCGTTTTAAAATGAAAAACACGTTTTTTCTTTTTGTTTGAAGAGTCCAAAGAGCGCAGGGTCTAAGGTGCTTTTCGCAGGTGGAGTAGAGCAGCTCCCGGGGCAGCCTTTGGATTCTGAGTTGTGGTGTGCCTGTGTGGATGGGCGAACCCAGAGGGTTGACCTGGACCGCTGGCTTGCGCTTTTTGACTCTGACCCTTGTTTTACATCATGGTGCAGTAGACCTGTGCGTGGGTGTGCCCTACATTAATATAGAACAAGTTTCAAAAGCGATGCTTATACTTACTGTATGTGAGGTACTCATACTTTTCTGTTCTCTTTCCTTCTCTTTTTTTAATGCTATTCTTGACCCATGAAATTGATTTTACGATCCACTAATGGTCTACAACTTAAAGTTTGAAAAACTGATCTAGACGAAAATCAGGCTCCCAACAATACTGACGACTGGAAAAGGTTTTGGGAGCATTTACTTATAGCATCATGGAATTCAATGTGAAAAGTGAATATCTATAGTTTAGAGAATTATTGATTCTGTTGAGTATAGGTTAGATTTTTATTAGAAATATTTTTTGGCTTTATTCACAAGCTGATTATGTTAGGAGTCTAACTCCATATTTTTTAGATTCCGTGTCTAAAAAACTCTAAAAAGTAGTATTCAGCCTGGATTTCTGAATTGTGAAAAACAAACATTCCGACTTATTCAAATTTGGAAAACAACATCTTAGTTAATATTTGATGCATGAGAACAAGAATACATTTCACCTTTGTGAAAGGAGGCTACTGGGAAAGGTTTTTGTTTGGAAATTTTCATTTAAAAGAATGGTTTGGATCAGGTTGTAACAGTTTGTTGAAGTTGTTAGCAAAACAAGTTATAATCACGTTGGAAGTGAAAATAACAAGGCACTCATCTACCTTAAGTTTCAATAAAACTCTGTATGGATGTTTTACTGAAAGGGCCATTTTACTATTTTCCCAGCATTTTGGAAAATTTTTTAATGAAATATAATTTGGGATAATTGTTTTACTTTGCCCTATTTTATTTGCCTATATGAATATATTGCCTAATAAAAATAATTATGATGATACTTTGCATTTATGTAAATTTTAAAATAAAAAAATCACTTAATGTTTCAAAGACGTAAATACAGATGTGGTAAGTGCTATCAAAGAAGCTGTCAGAAGGTGCGAGACCCACAGGAATAGAGGGTGAGGGGAGGCCTCACTGAGAAGAGGGGAAGCACTTCCGTGCACTCTCACTGGTTCACCCTGGTCAGATAGTATCGCGTTCATTTTGCGGATCACTGAGCCCAGCTCAGAGTGGATAGGTGACTCTTGCAGGCTTGCGAAGCCAGCAAGTGGTGAGCCAGTTTGAATCTTCAGACTGCTTGTCTGGTTCTCTTCACACCATATTACATTGCTCCTCCAAATTTGCCTGACATTGATGAACTGTGCTAACATTAGATGAGTTACAGTAGCACACTCCCCACTGCTTATAAACCTGCAAAATGAAGTTAGTATCATTTTAAGTAGTCAAATGGATTTTTTCCTAGAATATTTATTATTACTCCCATAGGGCAATAGAGCATATATTTGCTATTATATAGAACTTTAAATTTCAGTATTCATAATATCTCATTTTTTACATGGACTTGTTTTTTACTCTAAAGTTTACACTTAATAAACAACTCAGAAAGTTCCCTTATGTGTACCTTAAAGTAATAAATATTTAATGACTTAATTCTGTGTGGTCTGTGTGCTCTAGTAATTGTAACAAATTTGAAAATGTTCAGTGCTTACGTAGTCATGGTTATGTAGGATTTAATTTTCTTGGCAAAAGTGGAGCAGTAGGGGAGGGACAGTTTATGACTGAGGCGACAGGCAGGGACAAGCCTGCTTTGGGCATTAGCAGCACTGGTGTGATGGGGGGGGGGAACCACAGGAGAAAGGGAAGGTGGCATAGCTGCTGGAGCTAGGGGAAGAAGCCCCTTGCTTTAAGTATGACTTCTAGGTTACCTCTCTTGCTTATTACTTAGGTGTCCTTGGCATTAGTGACACATGGCGAAATGTCATATGACGTTAGCACCATATGTAAAGCTGTTTTTATTTACTTAATGTGCTCAGTACTATAGCAATCTAAATAAATAAACAAGCAAGCAAGTAAAGTCACCATCATTTGGGGTGTTGATAAATCATTTTACTTTGGAAGCTATCTAGATAGGCATTTGGCTGGGTTTCTTTTTTCTTTCTTAGGAAGAAACAAACAAATACCTCTTTGACTTGTGGGATCTTTCAGTTTTCTTATTACCAGTCTGCTGAGATGATATCATTTGGTTATTTGTGATTCTTCACCTTTGAGGTTCTGTTTTAAATTGTTATATATATTGAAAAGAACATTTTATATTATCTTTTAATAATTTATTCTCTAAAGGAATATAATAAAATACAGTATACAGCTTTAAAGTTTTTAATAGGCATATTTTTAAAGAAAATAAGGAGTAAGAAGCGTATATTTCACCATTCTATTACCCAGGTTTGTTAGCAGGGAGACTCCAGGGGAAAATATATTTATGGATGTTATCTGCCTTTTGACTAATCCACGGCATAAGCATAACTTGGAACGTTGTCTTTCAGAACTTAAGGAAGGGAAGAGGAAGGGCTCTAACATTTGCTGAATGCCTCCCACGTGCCAGGCACTGTGCTAGACACTTTGACATACATTGCAGGGTGTATTGTGAGTATTAAATGAGATACTGTATCCCCATTTTACAGATGAGGAAACTGAACTTGCCCCAAGTCACATGGCTGGTAAGTGGCAAAGCTGGACTAGAACCCAGACTCCAAACCCCATGTTTTTTCTGCTGTACCGTGTTTAAAGCTTGCAAAGAGAGGTATGAAGTTAATGACCAGAATTGAGTTCTAGGAATTTTCTTTTCCCATGAAATATTTGATACTCAATTTAAAGATTTTTTTTCCATGTCAAGAGTTATATGGTTGGAAACACTATAATTAGAACATCTCTGCTTCTAAAATGTCGGGTTAGATGACTAACATCTGAGGAAAGATTGAAGAAATAATGCCTTTTTCAAGAAAGGCCAGTTTGAATAAATATGTAGCATCTTGTAGGGCTTTCCAGGTCTTAGTGTTAAAGACTTAAAGACTTAGCTATAATGATAGCTAATGAAAGTCTTATAAGACTGCTTATTTTAAACATTCCAAATGACAGTGGGCTTGTGCAAAACCCAGGGAAGTTCAGAATTTACTTCATAGCGCACGTGTAAACTCACCAAGCACCAATTATATGTCACGTTCTGTGCTAGATTCTAAGGTAAAAAAGATATCCCAGACTTGTCTTTAAAGCTTTCACTGCCTTAGAATAAAATTAGTGTATAAATATATTTTTCTTATTATCTTTCCCCAATCATGAGTTTAAAGTCCCCACTGATGATCCATTTATTTTCAGAAATAATTTATACAATGAAACGCTAGAATAAAAATCAATTTGGACACTTTTAGTAGTTAGATGGAACAGGAATTGGCCTTTATAAGAGTGCAGGCATAAGATATGTCATCAAAGGACACAGGATGGTTCTTTGATCTGTAAGCCCAGGTATCTTATCTGCTTTAAATTACCACTGAATTCTTAATACTAGAAACTGGAGCTAACTAAGATAAAAAACTTTTATATAACTTGTTTCAAAAACAAAACTTTTTGACATTTGGATTTCCTCAAAACAAGAGATGCTCTTTGCTCTTATCTTCTTAATGTATTTACTAATAAGATCCTATTTGAATATGTGGGATTTATCCATTCATATTTGTTCAGTGACCATTAGAAGTGTACCATCTTATAGATTCTTTGGGATATTACAGAAATTTATACTAATTCCTACTAATTTATACTAATTCATATTTCTGGCTTCAACTAATGAGCTGCAATCTGACTTTTGTCAAAGGAGATAAAAGGAATATAGTATGTCTAAAAAATTGTAATAAAACCCAGTTTGTTAGCTAACATCCCAGAACTAGTACATCCAAGTATATCATTCTCTTCCACATTATCATTTGAGCGGTTGCTGAAAATGTTTTAAGAATGCCTCTTTTGGAATTGCCATTATCCTTGATAGTGCCGAATTTGTTCCTTTGAGGGTGGTTTCAGCTTTTGGAAACAGGCAAAAGTTTAGAACCATTTCGGATTCTAAGACCAATGAATGAGCTTTATTTTTCATCTGTGAAGTATTCCCACCCCCCTTATTTCCTTCTTTTAAAAAAATGGATACTCTTCAACTAACTTTTATATATCATGTAAGCATTCTGCTCTAACTTTGCAGTAGAGAAGATAGCAGATGTATATAAAACCAGAGAGGGTATAATGAACTCCTCTGTACCTTTCTGTTGATTTTATTGCGCTTCTTAGTGAGCCGTGTTTGGAAAGAACAACCCTGGACCAAGGTCTGCATCTTTGCCGTGTGCAAACGTCAACCTGATGACACCTCAGCTTCTCATTCATCACTGGCTATTCCAGTTTTAGAAAGCCTGTGTCACCTGCAGCTGTTCCATTGTTTCAACCTTTATTATCCCATAACCTTCTTCCCTGGATGTGGATAAAAAGAAGAGAGGAGAGAACTATGTCATTCTGTGCTCTATTTTATCTCCTCTGACAAAATGATAAAATACATATTTAAAAAAATGTTCAGTATGTTAACAGTTTATAACTGGTTTTAAAATTGTGTTACATTTTTCAAAGCTATAAAATTTTCTGTGACATACAGTGAGACATCTATGTATACAGTATTTTTAAATAGTCACAAAAACAAATTTAGAATTTTTCCCAAGGTTGTCAATAGAGATTTTGCTAGTGAACATTATATTTATCACAGTTACTATTTATCACCATTGTTTTTTTAAATTACATACAGAAGGAAGAAGTAGTACAACCTTATAAGTGGTATTTTTACTAATCTTATGAAGACCTTTAATGATCTTCTCCCAAAGCCATATTTTTTATTGTTTTAGTCTTTCACCTTATTCTTGAGCCCTCAGGAGAAAACAAACCTAAGATTTACCCAAAAAGAAGCACATAGATAAATTTTTGACAGATCTTTTAAACTACTTGGCCATTTTCACTGATACTATCCTATTTAAGTGAAAAAGTCTTTGTCTTCCTTTTGGGTAAAATTTTAGTTCTTACTCAGTGGGTATAATACATTTTATTGAAATATGTAAGTGATTGGCATTTGGTTCAGACCAATTTTTACAGGATTTAGTAACTTTCTTTAAACGTTTTTCTTGCGTTTAGCTTGTAATATCCTGTCAGGATGTCACATTAACTCTGGACCATACATTCTCAAAATTGAAATATTGGTGGTGGAAATGTGTTTCATCACTTAAATCCATCTGTCTTTTCTGGGAAGCTATGTTTATTGCAGTAGAGAGAGAAATTTTGAATATAAATTAGGACATTTTGAGGACTTTTAGTACTCAATATGAATACTAAATAAATATTAAGTCTATCATTTAACTATGGTTATACAATAATTAGAAAATATTTTTTAAAAATGAATACTTAGAAATGTATTATCCCAAGAAACCTAAGAAAGACAAAAATGATCATTCCCCAGAGAAACCACTTTTAAGTAGAGCTTTGCTGCTTTGTTTTTGACTTTTAACTGCAAATACGGTGAGCTGGTACTTTCCTTCAGCACCTCAGTCCTCCTCTGTTAGTAGGACTTACACTTGAAGACGTTTGGTAACTGTTTCAGGCATGATACAGGGTACAGGAAAATCTCCTGCCTGGAATAGGCAGAGGATGGAGATGTTGTGCTTAATCAGAATTTTTGCAGTGGTGTGCTAGAGCCGGCTCCTGCTGGTTTGCTAGAGCTGATTGTTAAATTTTCAGGATTTTTGTGAACTGGTTGTTAAAACAGTCATTATTAAAAATTTATACACACACACACGCACATACATTTAACAAATAAATTACATTAAAAACGACAATAAATACTCAAAACATCATTTCTAATTATTTTATCTATGTTCTTGAGGTTATTTACATCTGTTTTATCAGTATGGTGTGGTACTTACTGTGTATCTCTTCCCAACTCTGCATTCAGTGAAGTCACATTGGTAGCTTGAATTTGGCCATGGTGAAAGAACTCATGTCATGGGAAAGACAGATGCTACAGGTCCGGGCCAACAACCCCAGAGAGCTGGTTGTTAAACGTTTATCAGCACACCACTGATTTTAGGCTAGGACATTTTTCTACTTTAAATGTATAGAGCATGGTGAATGTCATTGTTCCAAATGTTGAAGAAGATCTTTGATACCTGAGATTTCTGTAATACTCAGAATAATCATCTTAAGTGTTAGCAAGATCACCTCTAATGACATGTAAGAAGAAGTATGTTATTTTCAGGTCAGTTCTATATAAAATATCAAGTTGTAAATTGTTCATATAAGCTTGTAATATTTTGTTTTATTGTAGCTGCCACTGGTGACATGCCAACTTACCAGATCCGAGCTCCCACTACTGCTTTGCCACAGGGGGTAGTGATGGCTGCCTCACCAGGAAGTTTGCACAGTCCCCAGCAACTGGCAGAAGAGGCAACACGCAAACGAGAGCTGAGGCTAATGAAAAACAGGTAAGATGTTTCACTGGATATCAGCAACCACTTATAGGACCTATAATTTATTACTGTGGGTCTTAAAGAAAATTACTTTTCCTAAGCTATTTCTCCCCAGTTTAGTGTTATATGGCATTTTTATGTTGGTTTGTGCCCTATGTGTGATGATAATTAGATTTTCTTCTAGTCAGAATTCTTAGCTGTGAAACTATTTCATCAGCAAGAGGTATATACCTATGTTTTGTAAGGGTAATGTCTAAAAGATTCATTTTTTTTTTAGTGACGATGGAAGGGCTTTATTACAAATAAAGATTTCTTTTGTACTTGGTATTTGTGAAGTAGGTGATAAGTATAATTTTTTAGCTTCTTTATGAGCAAAATAAATATAGGGGTGAGTTAAGAATTTTCTAAGTCTTTTACTTCTAAGTAGTTTCTTTTTATCTACCTTGTAACTTTGCTTTTTTCTCTATTATACAGGAATTCCTTTTCTGATCATTTCTAGTCTAGTGCAAATACAAAACAACAGAAAGAATTAAAATTACACCTGTCCCCACCACTTAGAGATACTTACTAATATTATAGTATGTATACTTCCAGTCTGTTCTCTTTTTCTCACTTATTCTTACACCGTACCTCTATAATTTTATTTTTTAAACAGCACTATATCATAAAAATGCTATTTTCCAAAATTCTTTTTCATTTAACTGACATGTTATTTATTGGTTTAGTTTTTATTATGGAGAATGGTGCAAATTAATCTGATTTTCAAAATGAACAGAATATGATATAAGAGTTTTCCCAGCAGTTTTGTCACCATATTCTTAAGTGTTAAATAATGTCCTCATTGTAAGAAAACAAAACATTTCAGATGGGATCATGTGCTTGCCTATGGTTAGGACCACATGGTGGTAGTTAATTTACTGGGTGTTAGCAACCTAGTTAATCTAGATATTGTGGCTTCTGAGCCTCTAAAATTTGGAAATAGTGCTGAGTTCATCACTGTCCCTTGTAACTGAGTGTGAACCAGTAGTAGCTATATTCAGGTTACTAATAGCCTTTTTTTTTTTTTTTTTTTTTTTTTAAAGATTTTATTTTTTCCTTTTTCTCCCCAAAGCCCCCCGGTACATAGTTGTGTATTCTTCGTTGTGGGTTCTTCTAGTTGTGGCATGTGGGACGCTGCCTCAGCGTGGTTTGATGAGCAGTGCCATGTCCGCGCCCAGGATTCGAACTAATGAAACACTGGGCCGCCTGCAGCGGAGCACGCGAACTTAACCACTCGGCCACGGGGCCAGCCCCTACACTAATAGCCTTTTAAATGCCACAATTTGATAGATTGTGGGACTCCTTAAGTTGGCCACAGTTCCCAAGCTTATTAGTTACCACAGATCACTAGGTGGAGTTTTGCACCCCGGAGAACTCAACAGACAACCAGAAATAGGATCACTCAGATAAACACATCTTTCTCAGTGTTTGTGCCAGGTTTACTGAGTCATCCTGGATTCAGAAATTCTGCAGGGGCTGAGTGGGTGGCGATCACTTCTATCATAGTTGTTTTATGGAAGTCTTGTTGTCAGATCCCTGACTTTGATCTGATGAAGGAATATGGATACTTCACACCTGCACTTGCAGAGATCTCAGGACCTAGGAATATCATTGCCTCTGGTCACAGAATGTACACTGTGAGGTTCACTTTAGAGATATAAAATGTGATAATAATGCAAACTATAAACTTGTTCATTGATGTCTTACTTTCCCAAAGAAAATAAAAAGGAAGAACTAAGAAGTAGCCTTCTTATTTCCCTTTTGTCATTATTCTCCACCTTTATTTTTAGATTAAAAAATTTTGTCAGTAGAATTACCAAAATGAAATAGATAAAATATGAGGTAGTGGGTTCCTAGAAACATGCCCCACAACTACCTACGCATACATGTGAGATCTCCCTGAGGAAAAAAAAATCATAAAATTTGGGGTTTTAAAAACATAATTAGCTGCTAGTAACTCTTGGGTAGCGTTTGTGTTTGGGCTGTAAATAAGTAAGGGAAATGGAGGCTTGCAGGTGGTGTTGTGATCTTACATAGCTGGTCCAAAGGTATGCGCGGCCAGAACAAAGGCCAGCAGGGTCATCAAGGATCCAGGCTCCTGCCTGCCTTGTCATCTTTAGCGTGTGACATTTGTTCTTGTGATCACGGCATGGCTGCCCCACCTCTAAGCTTTGCATCAGGCAGGAAGAGAGAAGGGCTAAAGCTAAAAATTGAGGCTGGCTGAGTCTGGCCCTTGTGAAAACTTTTCCTAGAAGACCCTGCTGGCAGCTTTCACCCCATTCCATTGACTAGAAATGGTTAATAGAAGCCCTAGCTGCAACGGATTCTGAGAAGGGTCAATTTTAGCTTTCCAAATCTCAGTTTCAGAGCAAGACAAGAGAAGAGCAGAGGGTAAATGGCTATTAGGTTGCTCAATATCTGCTGAGCAAGTATCGTATGCAACTTTTAGGTACTTTATTTCTGTTGTTTCTTTTAACTCACACGTAGCTCTCACGTGAGAATAGGTCTGGTTATTATCCTTACTTTACAGATGAGAAAGTGTGCTTCAGAGAGGTTAAGTAATAAGTTGGTTAAGATCACGTAGCCCAAACTGGACAGAACCTGGACGGTTCTTTATTCCAGAGCCAGCCCACTGCTCTAAAACACCTGAGTCACCTCAAAAAGACCTCAACGTCAGCTTCAGATTTAACTTCATGGAAAGGATGTAGGTTTTACTTATTAACGTGAAAGACCTCTTATACGTTGTCTCTTTTTATTCTTTGGGTGGCATTTATAATAGATATTTAATTATATTTTCACCAATCCAGTGACAGTTTTTATTTCTTTATAGCCTTGTCAATTTTTCCTCTTTGCCATGTATTTCCTCTCCATGCTGAGGATATATCCAGACAAATGCAAGGCCTGAAAACTGAGCTAACTATTAATAGAAGAAACAGGTGTTTTCCATAGCTGAGAAGTACTTAGGAATGTACCGTCTACTGGTGTGATCATTTAAAGCTTTGTGCTTGGAACATTTTGGCTCTGGTAACATGCGTGCACGAACACGTGAAATATGAAGTTACGATTACTGTGTGCTATTTATTGTGAACAAATGAAATTTTAAAAATTAAATATCCCACAACACTCCTATTAGATATTTAAAATTTCATTTACTGGTAACTTGTTTTGTAAAATCACTATCTTCCTTCTAAATCTAGAATTTAATGTAATGATTTAATCATGAAAGCTTTGGTATTAATAAATGTACTTTAGTTCCTTTGTGGAAGAGAGTTGAATTATGTCCCCAAATTGGCAAATCTATAAATATGCTTGAAATTATTCTTAATTTCGCCTTGCTTATTAATTAAAGTTAATCTTTATCAGATTCAATTCACTTTTACATTTTTTATTTTTTTGTTAACCAGTTGAGAGAGAAGTCTGAGAACTTTGAGTTCACGGGGTGAGTGCATTGTTTTTGGTTAGGAAGTAGGGGTTGATCTTTTCCTGCAGTTCATTGGTATTTCAAGGTCTCTTTTCTGCTGACTTTTGCTTCCCACAGAGAAAACAGAGATAACCAGTTGTTAGTGAGAGTGAACTATCCTAAAAACAGAACTGGCCGATCTGTTGTACACATCACTCCAGGTTCAGAACTGCGGCAAGGCTAATTGGCATTACAGCGACTGGGGTTTAGACATTCAGCATGACTTTTGTTAAAACGTGTTTGAATTATCTGTTTCAATGTAGGCTGTTTTCATGTGAAGGGTACCCCAAGGGCAGTTATTCTCACTTGAATACTCCAAACTAAAGGTGTTCTGAGCGGGTGTATTCCATAGAGCAGTAAATGATGTCGTTGCCACCGCCTCCCACCCTGAACAAAAGGAGAAAGAGAAGGTGTTGCTGTAGTCATTATTTTTTGGTGGGATGATACCTGAAAATGACTGACTTACCCATCTGTTTATTTAAGCTTGTTGCTGTGGCTGCTGGTCTGCTTTCCTCTGGGCATGCCTGCAGTGCTTTACAATTCAGCATATTGGGCAGTAAATGCGTGTGATGAGCGAACAGGCTTGAAATGTACTTTTGACTTATTCGGTAGCTTCCTTTTCATAATTTTAATTGTGGTGTTCTCATATTCCTGGGTTTAAATTGTCTGAATAATCGAGTATTGTATTGCGTACCTTCCCTTCTTTCCTTCTTTAGTTTTCAGAAGCAGAGTCCATTTCATTTTTGTTTATGAAAATCTGCATGATTTGTTTATTGTTATTTTTATCCATGTTGTTCTCTAGCCAATAAACTGGTTTTTTTGCAGTCGTGATTGATCTTATTTGTTTTACTCAGATTTAGTCTTGAAGAGTTAAAATCTCCAATATTGACATTTCAGGTTTCTGAGGATTAATTTTTTTAATCATTTTTGATCGAATAATGTTGATTCATTGTGATAGAATATGTGGCTTTTGGTGGACAAAAATAACTAAGAGAATCAAAAGGATCTGTGACTGTTTTTGTAGAAATTCCACTTGGGGATGCGTTCTATTTTAGGTTACTGAAAACCATTCTGGTCACTGTTATCATGGAAAGTATGCCCTACGAAAACACAGACACCGTTTGTGAGGAATGCCCACGAACTGACTGCTTTCAAGCTGTTCTTGTTGTCTTAGAGTAGTCTCACAAAATGCTGTGCTTAGTTACACTTGTTGTGTCGCCTTGTACAAACCTTGCCTAGGATTGACTGGCTGTTGAGTTTGGGGGGCAGCTCACTGAGCCACTCTGGATTGTGCTGGAAGGTTGTGCCTGTAGTCATTTGCCTTGTGTTGGTTCCAGGGAAGCTGCCCGGGAGTGTCGCAGGAAGAAGAAAGAATATGTCAAATGTCTTGAAAATCGTGTGGCTGTGCTTGAAAACCAAAACAAGACTCTCATTGAGGAACTCAAGGCCCTCAAAGATCTTTATTGCCATAAAGCAGAGTAACTGTCTTTGACCTGGACCTTGTTTACTGTGAACT